TTATTAACAGCAGAAACAAAAATCTTTAACAAACTATTCTCTCACATGAAGGGAACTGCTGATGTTGCAGTTGTTGATGATGATGATGATGACGAAGAGAATGGAATTTTGTTGCAACAGCAAAAATCAACTTAAAGTCGCTCTTAAGCTTTATTAAGTTCAAAATTTATGACCCATCTTTTTGACTGCAAGATTTATTATCGAAACCATATGAGATTTTTACTCAGTTTCTGTTGCTTATATTTTTTAGTTTGACGTACTTTTCGCAGTGTGACACATTTAGCTCGCTTTTCATACTTTATGGGAGTTGAGGTTATTTTAATTTGCAGTTCTGTTGTTGTCAGTCTCTCTGTCCGTCCATTTCTTGGTCTCATTATGTTAATGAATAATTGGGCAAAGAAAATTTGTTTGTAAATGCTTGTAGCCGGGATATTTGCCACATTCCTTGTTGTCAGTTCGGGTGAAGTTTCAACATTATTGGTGGAATTTCTGTTTCTCTGGTTGATGCATGAAAACATAATGTTTTCAATTTTATGAAGTTTCTTAAGAAATTTTAAGTTGTTAACATTTTTAGTTCTTTTACAAAGATCTCATGACCAATTTGAAATAACTATGATCATTGTTGTTGTAAAACTTGATAGGTTGCTTCTCAATCGAGATTCTAGTTCAGTTCTAGTTCGGTTCTAGTTCAGTTCTAGTTCAGTTCTAGTTCAGTTCTAGTTCAGTTCTAGTTCAGTTCTAGTTCAGTTCTAGTTCAGTTTTAGTTCAGTTCTAGTTCAGTTCTAGTTCAGTTCAAGTTCAGTTCTAGTTCAGTTCTAGTTCAGTTCTAGTTCCGCTCTAGTTCAGTTCTAGTTCAGTTCTAGTTCAGTTCTAGTTCAGTTCTAGTTCAGTTCTAGTTCAGTTCTAGTTCAGTTCTAGTTCAGTTCTAGTTCAGTTCTAGTTCAGTTCTAGTTCAGTTCTAGTTCAGTTCTAGTTTAGTTCTAGTTCAGTTTAGTTTCAGTTCGAGTTTTCAGTTATCAGTTCTAAGTTCAGTTCTAGTTCAAGTTCTAGTAGTTCTAGTTCAGTTCTAGTTCAGTTCTAGTTCAGTTCTAGTTCAGTTCTAGTGCAAGTTATAGTTCAGTTCTAGTTCAGTTCTTAGTTTCAGTTTCTAGTTCAGTTCTCGTTCCGTTCTAGTTCAGTTCTAGTTCAGTTCTAGTTCAGTTCTACGTTTTCTGTTCTAGTTCAGTTCTAGTTCAGTTCCTCGGTCTAGTTCTAGTTCTATTCTGTCAGTTTCTAGTTCAGTTCTAGTTCAGTTCTAGTTTCCAGTTTCCTAGTTCAGTTCTAGTTCAGTCTCGTAGTTCAGTTCTAGTTCAGTTCTAGTTCAGTCTAGTTCAGTTGCTAGTTCAGTTCTAGTTTCGTTCTAGTTCAGTTCTAGTTCAGTTCTAGTTCAGTTCTAGTTCAGTTCTAGCTTCAGTTCTAGTTTCAGTTCTCGCTTCAGTTCTAGTTCAGTTCTAGTTCAGTTCTAGTTCAGTTCTAGTTCAGTTCTAGTTCAGTTCTAGTTCAGTTCTAGTTCAGTTCTAGTTCAGTTCTAGTTCAGTTCTAGTTCAGTTCTAGTTCAGTTCTAGTTCAGTTCTAGTTCAGTTCTAGTTCAGTTCTAGTTCAGTTCTAGTTCAGTTCTAGTTCAGTTCTAGTTCAGTTCTAGTTCAGTTCTAGTTCAGTTCTAGTTCAGTTCTAGTTCAGTTCTAGTTCAGTTCTAGTTCAGTTCTAGTTCTAGTTCAGTTCTAGTTCAGTTCTAGTTCAGTTCTAGTTCAGTTCTAGTTCAGTTCTAGTTCAGTTCTAGTTCAGTTCTAGTTCAGTTCTAGTCAGTTCTAGTTCAGTTCTAGTTCAGTTCTAGTTCAGTTCTAGTTCAGTTCTAGTTCAGTTCTAGTTCAGTTCGAGTTCAGTTCTAGTTCAGTTCTAGTTCAGTTCTAGTTCAGTTCTAGTTCAGTTCTAGTTCAGTTCTTGTTCAGTTCTAGTTCAGTTCTAGTTCAGTTCTAGTTCAGTTCTACTTCAGTTCTATTTCAGTTCTAGTTCTAGTTCAGTTCAGTTCTAGTTCAGTTCTAGTTCAGTTCTAGTTCAGTTCTAGTTCAGCTTTAGTTCAGTTTTAGTTCAGTTCTAGTTCAGTTCTAGTTCAGTTCTAATTCCGTTCTAGTTCAGTTCTAGATCAGTTCTAGTTCAGTTCTACTTCAGTTCTAGTTCTAGTTCAGTTCAGTTCAAGTTATAGCTTTGCTCTAAATAGTTCTGTTCCATTGCAAAGACATAATTTCCAAAATCCACTGGAAATGTAATTTTACACTGAATCCTTTGTGCCGTGGTAAGTAATAAGACTTTGATTTATAAGATTTAATGTCAGGAATGAAATATATCAGGTAAATATAAGAATATTCTTTGAATTTAATAAAACGACAACAAAAATTAGTGCAACTATAAAATACCAAGAGAAAAGGATCATCATTAATCTCATGCTAAATAAAAAGATGAATCAAAACATTAAAAACAACATGTCACATGTTTCCTTTAATGTGAGACATCGAATTGATATGAATTAATGTTGAAACTGAATTTTTTATAAAATCTTGACCTTGTTTATCTTCATCACAGTGCTCATCGTTAAAGTCCTTAATAAAAGTGTGGGCGTTTAGAAGATTTTTTTAACTTTCGTGGCATGCGCTTTTTAGTTGAAATATTCTTTTTCTCTGCTAAAAATTCATATGACAATATTATTTCTTGCATTCACTATATGTATTAAAGGGTCATTTAAAATTATAAATAATGGGATTTTTTTGTAATATTGCTGGTGTATTTCGTAAAAACAAATCGTAAATTTTCTACTTAAAATCTGCCATTAAGTTGTTGGTTTATAATGAAGTTGTCACAACACTCACGCATTTATTTGTTGGCTTTATAAAGGTGGTTATTTTTTTGTTTTGTTTGTAATTTTTTATTACATATTTCAATACAAATTTTACAAAGACGAAAGAAATAAAATTTACATTTCACTCCAATATTGGCACTTAAGTACTAAGCAAGAAACGTATGGGACATATGATAAAAACCTGCATTTTTCTGGATCTAAAGCTGGAATGGCTTTGTTACCAATATAATACTCTGGCAAGCAGGCTCGTTCAACAAAGAAACTTGAGTTCATGTTGTAAATCACAAAACAAGTATGAGATACAATTCTTTTTTACACCAATTTTTTGTCGTTCAAATACTTTTTTTTTATTTTATGTTTTTGGATTAAGACGTTTTGTGTGGTTTAATATAATAAAAAAAAATAATTTTAATCAAGTCTGTTTTATTTGTTAAATTTTTTTTATTGCCAAAACTTCCAAAACATTAAATATCTTCAGATAATTAATGTTGTAACGAAAGAAATCAACTTAAATGACAAATCATTTTCTCTGTTAGTTACGTACTGTGCTGATGGTGAATAATCGAAAGTGATGTAACTGATACATGTGAGAGTTTGAACTTAAATCAGCAAATTATTAAGAAAAATTTAAATTCAACTATGTATTATGAAGCGGGCCATAAAACTCGATCTTAACGCAGTCATAAAAGACCCCACGAGCGGTTTAATATTTCGACGATTATGAACAAAATCAACTGATCGACTTTTTTCATACATTCTGTAAGAGATCTGAACTAGAACAAAACTAGAACAAAACTAGAACAAAACTAGAACAAAACTAGAACAAAACTAGAACAAAACTAGAACAGAAGTAGAACAGAACTAGAACAAAACAAGAACTAGAACAGAACTAGAACTGAACTAGATCTGAACTAGAACAGAACTAGAACAGAACTAGAACAGAACTAGAACAGAACTAGAACTGAACTAGAACTGAACTAGAACTGAACTAGAACAGAACTAGAACGGAACTAGAACAGAACTAGAACAGAACTAGAACAGAACTAGAACAGAACTAGAACAAAACTAAAACAGAACTAGAACAGAACTAGAACAGAACTAGAACAGAACTACAACAGAACTAGAACAGAACTAGAACAGAACTAGAACAGAACTAGAACAAAACTAGAACAGAACTAGAACTAGAGCAGAACTAGAACAGAACTAGAACAGAACTAGAACAGAACTAGAACAGAACTAGAACAGAACTAGAACAGAACTAGAACAGAACAGAACTAGAACAGAACTAGAACAGAACTAGAACAGAACTAGAACATAACTAGAACAGAACTAGAACAGAACTAGAACAGAACTAGAACAGAACTAGAACAGAACTAGAACAGAACAGAACTAGAACAGAACTAGAACTGAACTAGAACTGAACTAGAACAGAACTAGAACAGAACTAGAACAGAACTAGAACAGAACTAGAACTGAACTAGAACAGAACTAGAACTGAACTAGAACTGAACTAGAACTGAACTAGAACAGAACTAGAACAGAACTAGAACAGAACTAGAACAGAACTAGAACAGAACTAGAACAGAACTAGAAAAGAACTAGAACAGAACTAGAACTGAACTAGAACTGAACTAGAACTGAACTAGAACTGAACTAGAACTGAACTAGAGCTGAACTAGAACTGAACTAGAACTGAACTAGAACTAGAACTAGAACTGAACTAGAACTGAACTAGAACTGAACTAGAACTGAACTAGAACTGAACTAGAACTGAACTAGAACTGAACTAGAACTGAACTAGAACTGAACTAGAACTGAACTAGAACTGAACTAGAACTGAACTAGAACTGAACTAGAACTGAACTAGAACTGAACTAGAACTGAACTAGAACCGAACTAGAACAGAATTAGATCAGAACGAAAACACAGTTAGAACAGAACTAGAAAAGAACTAGGACAGAACTTAAACAGAACTAAAACTGAACTAGTTTAGAACTGAGCTAGACTAGAAGTAAACCAGAACTAGTATTTTTTAAATACGTTTTTTAATACCCACCGTTTTAACAAAATTTTCTTCAAATTAAAACCACAAGTTTTTTTATATTTTAATATAATTTAATTTATTTCTTTTTTTTTTATTTCAAATAACTAATATAAACAATATTTTGAATCAAAAAATCTTAATTAAAAAAAAAAAATAAAATACTTAAACTACGACTAGAAACTCAAAGATTTTGTTGTTTTTTTGATACACTCGAAAATTTTAGAAAATTTTAAAAATGAAATTTTTTTAAAACAATATTTCTCGAAAATCTCTAACACTTTGATGTGTTTGCATAATAATCGAAAAATTATCTTTGAATAGTTTAAATTTATGTTTTGCTTTATAGATAAACAATTTTTGTTATTACTAAAGTGTTTTCGAGTGTATTTTCACTTTTCCTCATCGGCCAAAAATAAACTTTGCAAAAAAATCAAATGATATACATATTTTTAATTTTTACCTATTTCCTAATATTGCTTGCATTTCAAAATTATTTTACTTTTTCAGTAATTAATTTTTATACACAATTAACAACAACACTTTTTTTCGTATTTACACACACTTTTGTTTAAAAAAATTCTATTTTGTACAAAAAATTAGGTCCATTTTCCACTCATCAAAAATTCTAAGAAGTAACTGCACTTGCTGCCTGTTGCTGCTGTTGCAAGCTATTTGTATTATTATTGCTGTTGTTCTTTTCTCGCTCTTGCAACTCTTGCAGTTCTTCCTCTTCTCTAGTCAAAGGTATGGTGGAGTGATTGTAGAGACCTTGAGCCATTAATTGCAGGGCCAAGGGATTCTTAACGCCACTAGACTTTTTCAATTTGGCACGTTTATTTTGAAACCAAATCTTAATTTGAGCTTCATTTAAGCCCAATTCGGAGCTTAATTGTTGGCGACGTTTTTCGGTTAAATAACGATTTTCATTAAATTCATGCTGTAACGAAAAGGAAAGAAGGAAAAAAGAGTAATGAATGGTATCAAAATTTTATCTTAAATGGGAAAAGCTTTTAATAAATCTTTAAAATGATATTCCAGCTTACCTTCAGTCTTGCTAATTGTGAACCACTAAATGCTGTACGCGGTCGTTTATCTTCGTTGTTATTTGCAGACGATGTTGAACTGGGTGAGTTGGCTTTTTCGACCCCTGCTGCACTAGATGCTGTTGCTGCTGCTGCGGCCGTTGAGGAGTTAGTTGATTTTGGCGCTTTGGGTTTTCTTACTCTAGGACCTGAAATTACCATGATGATGTGAAACAATTAGAAATTTGTTTGCTAACAAAAAGACCATAAAAATTCCTTAAAGCAAATAAAACAAACATAATTGCGCCACAATGACTGGCCAACAACCACTGACTTTTGAGTCAGGCAACTGGGAATCTATGAATTTGTGCATTTAATAGGTCTTTAGATTTGAATTCATTAACATGGATGAAAGACAAAACGTACGCACTAAATTACCACTACATCTAATAAATTTTGCTTAAAACTTTCATGTACTTGTTGGAGGTTTTTTCGTAACAAAAATATTCGTAGAGTCCACAAAAAAAAAAAAAAAAAGATTTATGAGGAGTTAAAAATTACACGCTAAAAATGAAATAAGCAAAAATACGTGGACTAGCAAATAACCAACCAACTACTACCCTTAAAAATCTCTTAATGGTATAATGAATGAATGATACAAACAAATTAATGAATTTAGGGTGGAACTGAACTAGAACTAAACTAGAACTGAACTAGAACTGAACTAGAACTGAACTAGAACTGAACTAGAACTGAACTAGAACTGAACTAGAACTGAACTAGAACTGAACTAGAACTGAACTAGAACTGAACTAGAACTGAACTAGAACTGAACTAGAACTGAACTAGAACTGAACTAGAACTGAACTAGAACTGAACTAGAACTGAACTAGAACTGAACTAGAACTGAACTAGAACTGAACTAGAACTGAACTAGAACTGAACTAGAACTGAACTAGAACTGAACTAGAACTGAACTAGAACTGAACTAGAACTGAACTAGAACTGAACTAGAACTGAACTAGAACTGAACTAGAACTGAACTAGAACTGAACTAGAACTGAACTAGAACTGAACTAGAACTGAACTAGAAACTGAACTAGAACTGAACTAGAACTGAACTAGAACTGAACTAGAACTGAACTAGAACTGAACTAGAACTGAACTAGAACTGAACTAGAACTGAACTAGAAACTGAACTAGAACTGAACTAGGAACTGAACTAGAACTGAACAGAACTGAACTAGAACTGAACTAGAACTGAACTAGAACTGAACTAGAACTGAACTAGAACTGAACTAGAACTGAACTAGAACATGAACTAGAACTGACTAGAACTAGAACTGAACTAGAACTACTGAACTAGAACTAGAACTGAACTAGAACTGACTAGAACTGAACTAGAACTGAACTAGAATACTAGAACTGAACTAGAACTGAACTAGAACTGAACTAGAACTGAACTAGAACTGAACTAGAACTGAACTAGAACTGAACTAGAACTGAACTAGAACTGAACTAGAACTGAACTAGAACTGAACTAGAACTGAACTAGAACTGAACTAGAACTGAACTAGAACTGAACTAGAACTGAACTAGAACTGAACTAGAACTGAACTAGAACTGAACTAGAACTGAACTAGAACTGAACTAGAACTGAACTAGAACTGAACTAGAACTGAACTAGAACTGAACTAGAACTGAACTAGAACTGAACTAGAACTGAACTAGAAACTGAACTAGAACTGACTAGAACTGAACTAGAACTGAACTAGAACTGAACTAGAACTGAACTAGAACTGAACTAGAACTGAACTAGAACTGAACTAGAACTGAACTAGAACTGAACTAGAACTGAACTAGAACTGAACTAGAACTGAACTAGAACTGAACTAGAACTGAACTAGAACTGAACTAGAACTGAACTAGAACTGAACTAGAACTGAACTAGAACTGAACTAGAACTGAACTAGAACTAAACTAGAACTGAACTAGAACAGAACTACAACAGAACTAGAAAAGAACTAGAACAGAACTAGAACTAAACTAGAACTGTTCTAGAGAGACATGTTGTAGACATTAGAGACGTTTAAAAACGGATGTTGACTTTTTAACATTTGAATTAATTGCTGCTGTTGTCGCTGCCGTTTTCTTTTTTTGTTTTGCTACCAACTAAACGACCCACCAACCTACCGACCAAAACAGTTAACATACTTACTTACGATTTTTCGTTTGTGCCATGGCATCATTTAACACTCGCATTACCAGTGTAGATTTATTCATTTAATCGAGTTCGTAAGTAAATGAAATGATATTAGGGTGGCACCTGTTCTAGAGGCACTAGTTCTTGCTCAGATATACTTCAGTTCTAGTTCAGTTCTAGTTTAGTTCTAGTTCTGTTCTAGTTCTTTTCTAGTTCTGTTGTAGTTCTGTTCTAGTTCAGTTCTAGTTTAGTTCTAGTTCTGTTCTAGTTCTTTTCTAGTTCTGTTGTAGTTCTGTTCTAGTTCAGTTCTAGTTTAGTTCTAGTTCAGTTCTAGTTCAGTTCTAGTTCAGTTAGTTCAGTTCTAGTTCAGTTCTAGTTCAGTTCTAGTTCAGTTCTAGTCAGTTCTAGTTCAGTTCTAGTTCAGTTCTAGTTCAGTTCTAGTTCAGTTCTAGTTCAGTTCTAGTTCAGTTCTAGTTCAGTTCTAGTTCAGTTCTAGAGTCTAGTTCAGTTCTAGTTCAGTTCTAGTTCAGTTCTAGTTCAGTTCTAGTTCTAGTTCAGTTCTAGTTCAGTTCTAGTTCAGTTCTAGTTCAGTTCTAGTTCAGTTCTAGTTCAGTTCTAGTTCAGTTCTAGTTCAGTTCTAGTTCAGTTCTAGTTCAGTTCTAGTTCAGTTCTAGTTCAGTTCTAGTTCAGTTCTAGTTCAGTTCTAGTTCAGTTCTAGTTCAGTTCTAGTTCAGTTCTAGTTCAGTTCTATTTCTGTTCTAGTTCTGTTCTAGTTCAGTTCTAGTTTAGTTCTAGTTCTGTTCTAGTTCTGTTCTAGTTCTTTTCTAGTTCTGTTGTAGTTCTGTTCTAGTTCAGTTCTAGAACTGAACTAGAACTGAACTAGAACTGAACTAGAACTAAACTAGAACTGAACTAGAACAGAACTACAACAGAACTAGAAAAGAACTAGAACAGAACTAGAACTAAACTAGAACTGAACTAGAACAGAACTACAACAGAACTAGAAAAGAACTAGAACAGAACTAGAACAGAACTAGAACTAAACTAGAACTGAACTAGAACAGAACTAGAACAGAAATAGAACTGAACTAGAACTGAACTAGAACTGAACTAGAACTGAACTAGAACTGAACTAGAACTGAACTAGAACTGAACTAGAACTGAACTAGAACTGAACTAGAACTGAACTAGAACTGAACTAGAACTGAACTAGAACTGAACTAGAACTGAACTAGAACTGAACTAGAACTGAACTAGAACTGAACTAGAACTAGAACTGAACTAGAACTGAACTAGAACTGAACTAGAACTGAACTAGAACTGAACTAGAACTGAACTAGAACTGAACTAGAACTGAACTAGAACTGAACTAGAACTGAACTAGAACTGAACTAGAACTGAACTAGAACTGAACTAGAACTGAACTAGAACTGAACTAGAACTGAACTAGAACTGAACTAGAACTGAACTAGAACTAAACTAGAACTGAACTAGAACAGAACTACAACAGAACTAGAAAAGAACTAGAACAGAACTAGAACTAAACTAGAACTGAACTAGAACAGAACTACAACAGAACTAGAAAAGAACTAGAACAGAACTAGAACTAAACTAGAACTGAACTAGAACTGAAGTATATCTGAGCAAGAACTAGTGCCTCTAGAACAGGTGCCACCCTAATATCATTTCATTTACTTACGAACTCGATTAAATGAATAAATCTACACTGGTAATGCGAGTGTTAAATGATGCCATGGCACAAACGAAAAATCGTAAGTAAGTATGTTAACTGTTTTGGTCGGTAGGTTGGTGGGTCGTTTAGTTGGTAGCAAAACAAAAAAAGAAAACGGCAGCGACAACAGCAGCAATTAATTCAAATGTTAAAAAGTCAACATCCGTTTTAAACGTCTCTAATGTCTACAACATGTCTCTCTAGTGTCTATTTCATTTAAACATTTATTCATTACGATAAAACACACAACAGCAATTGAATTTTCGTATATTACGAAATTATTTATTTTGTGAAAATAATTAAAGTTTTAACTATTTGGCAAGTCACTGAGGAGTCATTTGAGAAAAAAAATGAAAAACAATCATTACAATGACTTTAAAAATTAAATGAATTTGTAGTGCATGAAGTGTTAAAAGGGAAGGGGAGGTTGCAAGGAAATCAATGATTGAGGCGTTGGTTTTTGAGTTAAGAAGTTTAAAGTTCTAGACACTGGCAACCAAAACAAAAAAACTGTCTATGTCTAGTGCGTAAACTGACAGGAAGGAATTAAAAAGCTAATTTTTTGTTTTTTTTGCTACATGATTACTCTAAAACTGTCAGTCAAATTGTTTTAAAAACAATTTTAATTTAATTTTGAAATCTAAAAGAAATTTCTTAAATTTTTATGAGAAAAAAAGGAAAAGAAGATGTTTGTGAATATAATTGCTGTAGCAAATATTTGTTAACAGCTATTAAAGGAAACTTCTTTAAGGAATTCTTAAGGACGTACAACATTTTCTATTGTAGACCATTTAATAAATTTTAAAAATTTCTTTTAAAAAAATATAAAAAATTTTTGGTTTTTACTAACGAGCATTCTTTTGGTTGCCACAACTAATTTCCTAAAAACAAAAGTGAAATTAACTTTAAAAATAACCACCCTTCTTCAATTCCAGCAACCAGCATTTTCTTCTCTAGACATTCATTATGAGTAAAAGTGAAATTTCTTTGGTCAAAAAAAAAAAAAAAAAAACCCAAAAACTATCATTAGTAAAATGTTAGTTTTGTTACACATTTTATCTTTGAACATAAGAAACAGAAACAGTAACAGAGTATAACTTGATGACATTTTTCTGTAGCATTTGAAACATCTTTTGCGTTGACCACAAGTCGTTTTTAATTGTTTTCTAGTTTTTGAGTTATTTCTTTTAGTTTTTATGTGCGGAAACTACTTTCGTTTTTTAAAATTTGTAATAAATGTTTCAAATACTAAGTATGGAAAAGAAATTCGTTTT